CTAGAAATTTGGTCCGGTTCAAGGATTCGAGTAATCTCATACTGCATGTGCCTTGGGTCTTACCCTGGTGGCCGAGACAGGCCATCCCAACATTTGGTGGCACACCAATATCAGCCTTGGCAGGATAAATCTCCCCAGACTTATCCAATCGGCTGTGAACATTTAAAACTAACACGAGTCTCTATAAGTGTCCTGTTTTAGGGTCTTCCACAGAATTTTACCAAACAACATTAGTCAAACATGCACTTTATTTATTTACACTAAATAACAAAAGTACATCAAATCGGATTGAAGCTAAGGGCATACAAAACTGTCTAACAGTGGGCACCTTAGCTTGACAAGTATGATGGAAACACTGATCCCGCCGACCACATCGAGGCACAAAAAGCTCAACTAATGTTGCACAGATCTTCCGAGGGCCTAATGTGCAAAGCTCTAGTGGCCACCCTCACAGGTCCAGCCCTAACTAGGTATTCCTCTCTACCTCCATGCTCAATAGCGTCGTGGGAGCAGTTGAAAACTCAGTTCTATGCACAGTTCACAACAAGTCAAAAGCATAGGAAGACATCGACCAGCCTCATGCAGGTACGACAAAGGAAAGTCGAATCTCTAAGGGGCTACCTGGCGAGATTCAACAAACAGGCACTACAGGTCAGAAGCCTGAACCAGTCCATGGTTGTCACCGCTATTCAACACGGCCTCCGCCCATCACCATTCAATTTCTCCATCTCCAAAAACCCTCTGCAAACCTTGGATGCGCTGATGAGCCATGCGCAGAAGAACATCAACACAGAAGAGGCACAAACACAGCTGCGAGACGAGGAAGAGAGGCCCGACAAGAAGAGGAGAGATACTGAGGAGCGGAAGTCAAAATGATCAGAATGGGACCATAAGAGGCAAGACCGCCGACCCGATCATAGACTAGGTACAGAGGCTAATCTACTACACCAGAAAAGTCCTCAGCGGCACAGAAACCCGATACTCCAACTGGTAAAAATGGCCCTGGCTCTGGTTACCTCGGCCAGAATGCTCGGGCCGTACTTTCAGGCCCACAGTATTCGAGTGCTCACTGACCAGCCACTCAAACAAGTCCTCCAAAGGCCGGAGGCATCTGGAAGCTTGTTCAAATGGAGTGTAGAGCTAAGTGACTTCGACATCGAATACGCACCCCGACCCGCGATTAAGGCTCAGTCCCTAGCCGACTTCATTCACCATTGAGGATCATGCCCTGCCACCATAAGTATGGACCCTGCATGTTTATGGCTCATCAAATCAGCAAGTCAGCGGGGCCAGCCTCATTCTCCTTGACCTAGATGACCCGGTGTTAAATCATGCTCTCAAGTCCAAGTTTAAAGCATCCAACAACGAGGCTGAGTATGAGGCCTTGATCGCCGGACTACACCTCTTCCTAGACCTAGGAGCTCGGAGAATAGAAGCCTTTAGTGATTCTTAGCTGGTAGTCAACCAGATCCACGGACGGTTTGAGACACTTATGCCCACAATGGCAAGCCATCTACAAAAGGTGCAAGTGTTCATCCACCAACTTGAGCACTTCAACATCCAACAGATCCCTCGAGCCGAAAACATATGAGTCTATGCGCTATCCAAGTTAGCTAGCTCTCCAAAAACTGATCTCGACAAGACAACATAGTTGGACACATTGGCCCAACCGATCATCGCATTGACAACTCTCCTCATCCTCCCGGTACAACACAGTCCATCCTAGATGGACCCCATCGCACAGTACCTCCGAGAAGGTACACTTCTAGAAGATCAGATAAAAGCAAAGAGACTCCAGCATAGATCATCTCGGTATTGCCTTAGCCAAGGTCAGCTTTACCGTTTCTTACACACTCTCCCCGACCTGAAATGCCTCTCCCCATTCGAGGCAGACTACGTCCTCATTGAGATCCATGAAGGTATCTGCAAAGACCATCCCGGCGCATGCACCTTGGTACACAAGGCACTCCGGCAAGGTTAATTCTGATCGACAATGAAGCAAGACGCAGCCCATCTAGTTCGGAAATGCGACAGTTGTCAATGACATTCCAATTTCCATCACCAGCCTGCAGTCCTCATGAAGACGATCACCAACCCATAGTCGTACACACAGTGGGGGGTGGACATCCTCAGCCCTTTCCCCACTGTGGTTGCATAGACAAAGTTCCTCCTAGTGGTTTACTTCACCAAATGGGTGGAAGTCGAAGCTTTGGCACGCATTACTGCGCACATTGACTGGAACATTTTTTGGCAAAGTATTGTCTGCCAATTCGATATTCCGCGCGTCCTCATCACAAACAATGGAACACAGTTCACCAACCAAAAGTTCAAGGCCCTCTACACTGACCTGAAGATCAACCATCGGACCACCGTCGTATACCGACCCCAGAGCAATGGGTAGACCATGGTAACCAACCGAACCATATTGCATGGCCTGAAAACTTGGTTAGACTAGGCCAAGGGGAGGTGGGTCGAGGAACTATCGAGCATACTCTGGGCATACAGGACTACTCCACGGACGGCCACCGAAGAAACACCCTTTAGCCTGACCTACGGAGCTGAAGCTATGGTACCTGTAGAGATTGGCTCTCCAACCCTCCAGACCGAGCACTTCGATGAAGACCAGAATGATGAGGATCTCCACGCAGAGTTAGACCTGATCGAGGAAGCCCAGGACCGAGCACATGTCAGGATGGTAGCACAGCAATGGAGAATGGCAAAATACTACGACACCAAAGTTAGAAGATGTGAGTTCAAGACAGGTGACGTCGTCCTCCGCAAAGTCATTGTGACCATGCCAGGGGAAGGCAAGCTCGGACCAAATTGGGAAGTGCCATATAGAGTCACCAAGGTTCTTGGTCCAAGCACCTATAGGCTTGAAAACCTTGATGACCGACCAATATTGAGAAGTTGGAACACAGGAAACCTTCGAATGTATTATCAATGATTCGATGATAATGAAAAGCACCTTATTCAAGCAATGTGTTGATTGCCCGACACAACATATACACGCACCCTACATGACACGAGACAACACACAAACACTGCACAAGCACCATGCCACACAACTGCTCTACACGACCACACTACACAACCGAGCTACACGACCATGCTACACAACCGCACAACACATGTGTAGCTCGATACATCTCACTGACTCGGCTGATCTCCGAACGGCCCAGGCCCACAATGCATAGCTCGACAGCATAATGCCGACCAACTGGACTCAGCTACCCACGACCTAAGCCTAAAGCGGAGAAGAATGCCCCCGCCCATCAAGGCCTAAGGATGGTCATTAAACTCCACTCACCTATCGACTAACACTTGGTCAGAGCTAGCCAAGCAACGGCTAGCCCTCGAAGGGCCCCAAAGGCTCTTGAGACCAAAAACTGAGCATCCCAAATATGAGAGCATGGAATACAGTCCCGCTTCACTAGTCAAAGGCTAAAGATATCGGCCAACTCAAACCTTGGCCAAGGCAAGGCCGAGGAACCAAAAAAAAAATTATGAATGCACACAAGTTTAGAATCAGAAAGTTTCATTAAGTCATAAAGTCAGTATAGCAGATGAAAGCCTGGCATGCTGAGCCATTGCAGGAGCAAAAAAAAAAGAAAAGAACCCACAGTAGTTCAACCCACAGAAGGGAGATTAGCAGCCTCGTCACCACCATCTTCATCATCATCACCGCCTCTGCCCTCCTCATCCACAATCTGAGGGTCAGGCGGAGCCTGCTCCTCGTCTTTGTCTTCATGGGCCTGGCGGAGGTCGGCACGAACTCCGAAGTACTCCAAGGCTGGGYCGTGCACCTCCCGTCTGGCGTGACGGTCATTCAGGACGTCGCGAAGGTCCGAGACTGGCGGGGGAGAGGCATGGTGTCGGCCCTTGGCCCTTGAGTGGGCGCTACGACGACCAAGGTGTCCGCCTTCATCCCATGGTTTCTCCCTCCTACGACGATGGTTCTATTCTGAGGGCTGGTGACTGTGTTGTTAGACAGTTTTGTATGCCCTTAGCTTCAATCATTTTGATGTACTTTTGTTATTTAGTGGAAATAAATAAAGTACATGTTTGATTCATGTTATTTGGTTTAATTCTGTGTAAAACCCTAAAACTGGACATTTGTAGAGACTCATGTTAGTTTTGAATGTTCACAGCCGTTGGATAAG